GATGCGTCGCATGTGGAGTTCTTCCTTTAGAATCAGCTGACAGGTCCCATAGCCTATCCCAACAATGTCGCACAAGTCGTTGATGGTACGACGTCGATCTTCGTGAATGGCCTGCCGAATCTTCGTAACATTTTCGGGCGTTGTGCTCGAAGATGGTCGTCCAGAACGCTCGTCATCATCATCGGTTCACCCGATATTGACACAGTCTGGAAACTTTCCGATCGCACCTCGTACAGTGGGGAAATGCCCCTGTCTGCTGTCTGTGCGTGTTGCCGGAAATAACTCCGAAATCCGTCAAACTGCTTCGTCCTAGGCAAAACTATAAGTAGTAATTATTACTAAAGCATAACCTAAGTAACGTAATCTAGACTGACAGCGACTACTGTTGCTTTAGTAATGTTTAGGTCTTAACAAACACCAGTCGCTCTTATGTTGTTACTTTAAGTTTCAGTAATAATTCAAGTCTTTCACAGGATAAACTGGTTTAGACGGATTTCGGGAATTTTCGGTAATACTTCCAGAAAGCCAGTGACTCGGGAGAGATGAATTGTACCACGTTCTCATTTAGTTGGTAGCCCGTGAAACTGATTAGGTTAATTTAAATGTCATGACATTTTATTTGGACATTTCTGTCTGTGATATAACATTTAATACTGATCTAATGGGCCTTTAAATGTTTTACATCCATCTGATACCGAGGTTAAGACTGTTCGGAGCTTCACTTCTACCACGCATACCTCTGCATCCTGTTCGAATGGTGATTTTTTCTCGATCTTCGTTTTATATCCCGTAGTGGTTAGTTACGAAGCACTAAAAAAAACTTTATTTTACCTTATCTTACCCGAGGACGGAGTTTTATGCATCATTTTAAACCACAGAAGATAAAATCCAAATAAATCGCCATAACAATGAAAATATACCACTGTCGTCAAAATGTAGAACGACAATCAAAATGTGTTTGAATGAATGTGACGCTCGTAACTTACACATTAAATATACATTTGTGTCTGATTCTTTTTCTAATCAGACTGGTCCGGAAGGATGACGTGTATTATCGTCATTGCTGCCTAGCTTTGCTTTAGAACAGTGGTGTTCAACCTCGGGTACGCGTACCCCTGGGGGAACGCGAAGACATCTTAGGGGGTACGTGAAATTTAAAAATATATATAGTATTTTATGATAAACACTGAATAATCATTAATGTAATTTATTTAATTGATTTTAGATGTAGATTATATACTATGTATGACTTGAATTATACACCAACAACTTTGGGGGTACAAAGTTGAAGAGAATTATATCTGGGGGTACGCGAACAAAAAAAAGGTTGAATACCACTGCTTTAGAGCACGCATTTAGGACGATCCAAGAAAATCAGAAAGGACCGTGTATGAATCGGACACGGTGGCTAGCATCTGGTGTTGATTTATTGAATTAAAACATAACCATATAGAAAAAAAAAATTCTTAAGACGCTAGTTCAAATGTTTGTCTGAAAGCAAACACAGAGAAAACAGTATGTTTGTGTTTTGTCAACAGAATACTTCCCGTCTCATAAAAACGTAAATATTAAGGTAAAGGTAACCATACTTTACCTGTTGTTCAGTATGAATATAAAACTTTGTGTCTGTCCTTTAATGAAAGGCACAAACTCAGATATTTGAGACGAGGGTGCGTACGAGAAAGTTTCGATCTAAGAAGAATGAAGTGCTAGGAGACTCGAGAAAACTGAATATTGAGAAGCTCTTCACCGATTATTAGGATGATCAACTCAAGGGGGATATGATTGGCGGGGTACGTGGCACGGATGGGAAAGGTAACGAATGTCTACAAAGGATCTGTCGGAAAATCCTCAAGGGAAAAGATCACTTGGGATGCCCGGGCACAGAAAAGAGGGTAATGGATAGAAAATAACAATGTATGCCGTAAGATAATGTGAAAGAGTAGGATTCAGTCCAGTTAAAGTTTCATGCATGCTTTTATAATGTCAGAATACGAAGGCATGATTGACTTGTTTTAGATCCATATATACGCGTTAGGAAGGCCATTGATTTATAAAATTTAGTATGTGCTTCTTTTAAAAATGAGTTTAAGTTATGGTTAAAGTCTTGGAACTATGTTTTCGATATCTTTATCAATAAACAAGACATACAACAGGCAAGGAAACTGAACTCGCTCATTTGCTCTGTTATTTTAACGTCAATTGCAATTTTATTTTCTAGGCGACATTTTTAGCCATTAAGTTGTGACTACTTTTTCTTGGTGGTACTAAAATTATGATACTAGAATTTTATTTGATTCAGATTTCTTTTCACATATCTAAATACAATTAGCAACTGTCAGCTGTTCATCCTTACCTGTTATTAAACGTGGATCCAAAGTTCCGGTGACGCATATAGAAATACACTGCGTAATAGACGACTTCTTAACTGGTATGCAAATGTTCTGTGCGAATTGGGTAAAACCACAACGGACTCCAGTCACTGTAGTTGACCGTGGAAATAGAAATTCCACGGTAATGATAAGCTGCATTGCTCTGTGGGGAAACAAGGAATTTGTTTTTTTTATATATGTAATGATGTTTTATTAATCAAATAATTCTACAGCATCGAATGGCAGGATTGAGAAAATCGTGTAATTTAACTGGCATGGCCTGTTAAATATCTTACTCAAGCAAACTCTTGCAGAACCTGATGAGAACCACGAAACCGTTAGTCATCAGTAGCAGGTCCACGGACTGAGATACAAATACTCTTGTAGCAGGCTTGATTAGCATTTTAACAACTCCATAATCTAACTAACTAACTAGATGGCTTACGGAACCCGAAGGTTCATCACCGAATTAACAAAAGCCCTCCACCGGACCCTGTCATGGGCCAACAAAATCCAGTCTCCTTCAACTCCTATCTCCCATAGATCCCGCCTGAGATTATCCTCTCATCTACGTCTAGGTCTCCCCAGCGGTCTCTTCCCTTCAGGTTTCCCAACCAGTACCCGGGGCACACCTCTTGTCCTATCTATGCGCGCTACATGCCCGCCCATCTTTCTTCTCGACTTAATCACCCTAACAATACTGGGGTAGGAATACAAATTTTAAGCTCATCATTATGCAGTTTTCACCATGCCCCATCGTCTTCTCTCCTGGGCCCAAATATCCTCCTCAACACCCTGTTCTCAAACACCTGCAATCTGTGTTCCTTCCTCAGAGTGAGAGACCATGTTTCACACCCATACAAAACAACAGGCAGAATTATTGTTTTGTATGTTTTATCTTCAGGTCTTAGAAATCAAAATATTCTGAACTGAGGAGTAGCGAGCATTTCCGGAATTTAGTCTCCTCCTTATTTCCTCATGCTATTATCAATTGCAGAAATTCAGCGAGTAGCGATATGATGTATGTGATGGACAGGAATGGAGAGGAAATTGCAGTGGCTCAGTTTGGCTTACTAATTCGACATTCGCGTTTAGAGAGATTAACCACGGAAAACCACAGTCGGAGTTCGCAGCCATTACTCGAAGTATAGGCGTATTTGCCACAGTTAACTGGAGGTAGTGGTTAAAACGCCTGGTTTGTATTCGAGACATTTCGTGTTTCCATCTTCGTTAATTTCGGGCAAATTTCTTCCACATACTTTCCAAATCCCCACACATAACTAATCATTTTATGATGAGACTGTTTGCAAAGCATTCCTTTAAAAAATGTAAAAAAGACAAGAAACGAGTAGCAATACACTAACAAACAAATGTGGTCAGATCCGTACAGAGATTGAATGCCAAACTCGCGGCTCGCGATCCGCATGAGGCCCTCTACGTTTTTTCCGACCCGATTTGCGTGGACCCTACGGATTTTTATATTTAATTTAAATTAATGTCTTATGTTTTATTAAATGAAGTGGAAATGTGTTTCAATTAAACTCATATTTGCGCGTGCTTGTGGGATAATAGATACCACCTCTCCTCTCAAGCGGCTACATGACGTATAGTGGGACAGCTTTACTTTACTTTTATGGGACAATAGAGGAGCGAAAAATAGATTTCCTAAGTTTAGGCTTGGAATTAGTGAAAGTGTTGGCCACCGGAACAGAAGCCCCATTTCGAAGCGGCCATTAGTAAACAAGAGTTCGACATGTCCGGGGCAGAGTATCCTGAGAAATCTTGTGGATTGCGTTTCACAGTTACGACATTGCGATATGTCAGTGGAGTTATAATTGCAGGAAGTGGACAGTGACGGAATAAATCTGTGCAAGACCGAGCTCTGTTCAACCAGACGGGAATTCAAATTAGCAGCTGCAATGGACGAGGCTAGTAGTGTAGTGTAAATTAAGGAGTGCAAAGTCGCGTAATCATTCAGTACTCATACAAATACTTATGAGCTGACGGACAATGCAAATGGTTTGGAACTAAATATAACGTATTTGATGATGATTTATTTGGAGAAAAAATATCGCCTGGAAGACATTGGCCTTGTAAGAAAATTGGTCTAAACATAAACGCTGACATCACAGGACGAAGTGATAATAAAAAAATAGTTAAAATTCGTCATAAATGTGTCTTCAAACATTTGCAAATGGCGGTAACAAATCAAAGCCACATACACTAAAGATTTAAGGAACAGACTAAATTCGAAGAATGCGTTCCGTTCAGAAACGCTTGCCGTCCTGTGTTCTATCTAAAAATGTAAAAATTAACACTTACGAAAAATGTAATTGTATTTGTTTTATACGTGTATAAAGCTTCGACATTGAGTTAGGCGTCCTCTTTGATGGCCTTGCACTTCTTAAAAGACACAGGATATGACCGTGTGGATTGGATTAAGCTGGCACGTGACAGGGGCTTGTGGCGAGCCCGCATGAATACTGTAGTGCACCTTCACGTTCCATAAATAGCAAGTAATTCTCGTGCAGCTGAGAGAATATTAACTTTTCTAGAACTCTGATCATATTTATCCCCGGAAAGATAACTCATGGTACACACTGGATGGGAGACTGAGAATATCCCAGGGTCGTTGTGGACGTGTTGAAGAGAAAGGTTCCATCATCCGTATTAGAAATCGAACCCCAGCCATCGAATTGGCAAGTCCTTACTTTAGTGACTGAGCTGATCAATTGCTTCATATCTCTCTCTCTCTCTCACACACACACACATTATAATGCTAGACATATGGCAATAAAATTCGAAAGTGTAACACTGCTAGCGTCCCGTCACTGAGCACCATCTTGATATATTCCAAAAATCAGACCCTCCGTAGCGCTGAATGTCATATGATGTTTGCTGAACGAGATAGTTGTCAATCAGGCTCTGCTATCAGGACTGTTCCCCTCCGATTGCGCGTGCATTCGGTTTCAAAGTTGCATTGTTCAGATATGTGGTATATGGCTTACACGAAGAAACCTATGTATGGTAAATGACAATCTAACCGGAATACATACATGGCAATACAGACCTATATTTGGTGTTCTGTGTGAAGGGCTTATAATTCGTACGTGATTCTTATTGACAAAGTCTTTCTTACCCAATACCAATAACATATGAGTATATACACACATATACACCTATCTTTCTTCTTTTTTATATACTATAAAATTTGTGATTTGTCGTCGTCAAAAAATTTGTCGTCAAGAAATGACGTCATCAAATAACGCTTCACAACGACGAGATCACCAACTACAAATCGCATGATCACTGCTCCACAAGCAGCGTATCGCATTTTTGAAAATGAAGATTTGACTGACAGTTGGCCTCCGAACTGCGACGTAAAGAACGTGAAGAAAAGTGAAAGAAGACCAAGACCAACAAGGTAAACTGATACTAACAATACTACTCATTCAAGTCATACTACTCATTCGATATATTACGATTACGAAAACTGACTTTATGATCGATTTTAAGACGAAGATTTGCAAGGGTGGAGCTGGACGTAGAAAGTTGACTGACCAAGAACAGTTGGCCTCTGAACAGCGACGTAAAGAACTAAAACATCAGAACTATTTAACAAGTAAAGAAAAGCGAAGGAAGACTTACATTGATAAACCAGAACATATTAACAACACACGTAGAAAAACTTATTCAACAAGAAAGAGCTCCGAAAGGAGCGTTTTGCTCTAGTATAGTATGATTGGTTGCACGATATTATTAGTATTACAACAGGTAACAACTTCAGGTGGTTCTCGCAACGTCGCAGTCTTATAACTTTTTTGCAAAATAAACTGTCACTTCGCTAAGAGCTTAAATCTCATCTAGCTGACAAAACTTGGCTTGCTCGAGCTGGATAATGATGCATTTCATCTGATCGCTTCTGCTTCTCTGAAGTAAGAATAAACCACGAAAGTAAGACTTAATTCTTCGTTTTTCAAAGATTAGCAGGTCTAACACAATCAACATGGACGCTTTGTCCCTCGTTATCCATGTCATGCAACCACTCCATTCTTCCTGTTATTCCATCCTGCATAGAAATTCATCCAAAAAGGGGAAGTGAAGCGTCATCTGTAATCTAAGATCTCCATAAAATTATACGCTACACTAATTACACACAAATGTGCTTGTAACAATGATTGTCTTTACGAGTTCTTTGTTATCAAATTGTATACTGAACAGTACGAAAATTCTTTGCCGGTAGCATTTTATTACTTAATTAAACATTATTCCCAGCATCGTTTCTTTCTTTTGACGTAAATACGTCTATACGGAAGGGTCATTCGGCAAAAAAGTGAAAGGAAAACGTGGAACGAAAATGTGTAAGATCAGTATCAACAAATCGACAACAATGGTTACCTATGGAACGTCGTGTTTACTCGGCATTGTTGTTACCTAACGTGTAAGATCCATATAAAAAATGTGTGAATATGGACCGACAACATAGGTCAGCTTGCGTGCATTGTTATGTTACCTAGGAAACGTCATCTGTTTACTCGGCATTGTTGTGTTACATTACTGCCGTCAACGATCCGCTTTCGTTATTGCGGAAAGAGCTGAGCTGTGAATCGCTTGTAGAAGAAGTGCGTCGTAGACTAGATAATTTTGACATTACATTTCATTACATTCAGCTACCTTCCTTGCATTGTATTTATTGCTTAAATATAATTTAAATACAGAGACGTATTTACGTCAGATTCTCCGGAGCCGTGGTTCCACTGTCAATTTTTTTTCTACCACAATATATGAGACAAAATTAGAAGCTTCATATAAATTAGGACATTCCTCGTGTTGTACTTTAATTGCATTAAATGAAGAATCTCAATGACAACAAAATGTAAATAGAGACCTCTTATCACTAACAAGTGGAAAGAAGCAGGCTCAATCATGTCGCTGACTGATAATTAATACTACTAATAACACGTCAGCTAGTTAAACTTGTTCGCACGTTCCAATGGAAAGAGGTGAACTTACACGTAGCTGAGCAAACATTCATTTCTTATAACTGTTGAGCAAATGCTTCTCAGAATGAATGGTTACAAATGAATCGAAAACTTCCTTTCAGTTTAATTAAAACTATACTGTGCTTTATTAAGACAAATCACTGCAGTTAACTCATCTGAATTTTATTACGGTAACATTATCAATTAAGGTTACATTATTTCATTACAGTGAGAGATCAAATTTCAAAAGCACACAAAACAGGCAAAATTACAATTCTCTACATCTGAGCCAAGTTTTCATACAGGACTACAGGGTACTGAAATTAATTTCGTTTTTTTTTGGGGGGGGGAGGGGGCTAGATCTTCCTATTCCATTACGAGTGCCAGTGGCTTAAATACGAGGTGCGATCGGAAAGTTTCCAGTCTGCGCGTATAAAAACCCGTACACTTATCTCAGGTATTAAATTCATCCATCACCCTCGAAGTAGTTCCCCTGGGAGTGAACACAACGATCCCAGCGCCGCTGCCAAGCCTGGAAGCATCCCTGGAAATCTTTCTTTGTCAGCCTGTCAAGCACCATCTGCGATTCTGCCTGAATCTCTTCTATCGTCTCAAATCTAATTCCCTTTAGCTGAAATTTCATCTTTGGGAAGAGGAAGAAGTCACACAG